AGGCTGCAGCGAGCCGTGGCCGCGGCTCCGTGGGGCCCGGCCGGCATCTGCTCTTTCACAAGAGAGAATTCCTGGGCTCCCTCCAAGGGAAATTCCCCCCGCCCAGCGCCCGCAGACACTCTCTCGGTGCCGGACTCAGGGGTTATCCTGCCCCAGGCCCTGCCCCGCGCGCTGGCTCCGTGTCCTTTGGCTGGGAAGCTGCTGGGATTCAGCGCTCCAGAGGGCCTTGGGATGATGCCAGCACTGCTGCATGGAAAGAGCCCCACAGGGACAGTGTGCTGAGACTGGGGTCTGGCAGAGAGGGGGAGTATCCGGGGGCGTTCAATGTGTCTGATGGCTCCCAGGAACTGGGGAGAAGAAGGAAAAATAGCCTGAGAGACAGGACTGGCACAGGAGAAGTCCAAGTGAGGACTGGTACGGGGAAAGCCAAGGTTTCCCTGGTCCCTGGAAAAGTCATGTCCAGGCTTGTGCTTGGCAAAATTCCCCACTGTCCCGGCGTTCCGGAGAAGCCCTGCTCCGGCATGGGATGATCACAGGCAGCGCACGGATGCTCTGCCCTGCAGGTGTCCCTGCTCTCGGCCGCTCTCCTCCTGCTCTCCTGCGGCATCCCGGAGACGGAGCAGAACAGCTACTGCCAGCAGATCATCACTCCCAACCACCTGGCCCAGCTGCAGGAACTGGTGAGCACCCATGGGTGCGCCGACCACCCGGGCCCTTCGGAGCCGCGTGGGAATGTTGGTGGGGAGAGAAAGCACCGTGGCCAGAGCATGAGAAATGGGGCAATGGGCGCCAGCAAGTAGGGATGGGTGTGTGGAGGGGGGGACCCGATCAGCTTCAGCAGCGCAGGGGTTAACGGCGAGGAATCCGGCTGCATTCCTGAGTCCAGCTGCTTGCCTGGAAGCTGGGCTGGCAACGGGAATGGGATGGAGGGCGGGCGGCGAGTGGGGGTGGCTGGAGCCACTGAGGCAGGGGCCACCGGAGCCAGCAGGGCTGGGACCACCAGCAACTTGGCACTTGGGCTCCTGCAGAGCGTGCGAACCCGGCTCGTGGTCCTGATGCTGCAAGGAGAAAGCGAAACTAAAGGATGCAGAGGGATTTTATCATTATTTATTTGCTTTTGCGGCCACCCACGTATCGCCGGTCGAGCGCAGCTGCTTTGCATCCTCGCCGCTCGCTTGCACCGGGGCCTGTGGGTGCTGCGCTCGCTCTGGCCTCGCTGCCGCGGTGCCAGGCGCTGCTGGAGGTGTTTTCCCCCGAACGCGGCCTCTTTGCGCCCCGCTTTGCGCTGCGGCGCGGGCGCCCGTTGCACCGGAGCGAGTTATCGGAGCGCCGCAGGTTCGCGCAGAAGCTGCGGTTTTGCCTCCGGAGATTGCAGCGCCGGGCGCAGGGGTGTTCGCGGGGGAACCGGCCCGCGCCGCGGCTTCGACGGATAATGGAGCGATTGTTTCCGAGCTGCTGCGCTCCTGGCAGCCGGAGTGCTCCTGCCTTGGGATGCAACCCCAGAGCGCTGCTCCGGGCCTGACAGCGGATTGTTTTTTTTTGGGGGGGGGAAGAGAGGAGATTAGGCGTTTCCAGGGGGTTTCCCCCCTCTTCTGCCATCGGAAGCGGTTGCAGCCGCAGTGCCCGGTGTTGCACAAAGCCCCGCGGCGCTGCCTGGGCTTGCATGACCCTTTTGCCTCTTGCGCGGTGGCTGGGAAAGCGGCTCTGCCCTCGACAAGCCCGGGCTCGTGGGGGGGGGGAGGAGGGGTATACCCGGCCTGCGGGGCGGCAGCCGCCACGTTTGGGACACGCCGGTGACATCCTGCTGTGCCCTTGCAGGCTGACACCCAGATGCTGCACCCAGGCAGGGTCTCCTTCAGCTTCATCCATAAAGAGCAACTGGTGAGTGGCTCCTTCCCATGCACCGGGGGGTTCTCTGGGGGCTTTGGGACATCCCCATCGGGGTGCATCGCTCCCCATGTCCCTTTTGGTGTCACTGCTGTCTCTGCCTTTGCAGAATGACTCCATCTGCTATGTGAAAGCCGCCTTTCCCGTGCTGGGGGACCTACTGGGCCGGACGGTGTTCAAAGAGAACTCGTCCAATGCCCAGAGGCTGAAAATGGTGCAGCGCATGTACGACCGCATCGACGAGAATGTGGACCCCTGCATCCGCGAGGAGGACGACGAGGAGAGAGAGGTGCGTGCGGCCGCCTTCCCGGGGCCCTCCAACCTGCAAACGCTGCTGCTACAGGCATATGTTGCATGCAGAAAGTTTCACATGCAGATCGGATCTTGCATGCAGATGTTGTACATGCAAATGTTGCATGCAATGCCTTTTGCAGGCAGATGTCACATGCAGATGTCACATGCAAATTGTGTGTACAGCAGGGGTTGCATGCAGCTGTGATGTGCAGGTGTTGCATGCAGGAGTCACATGCAGGTGGTGCATGCAGAACAAGTTGCATGCAGATGTGTGCTGGTGTTGCATGCAGGGGTTGCATGCAGGAGGGGTTGCATGCAGGTGTCGTGCAGATGGTGCACGAAGAAGCAGTTGCGTGCAGGAGCCACATGCAGATGTGGCGTGCAGGAGTCATGGATGTATTGTGCAGATGTTGCATGTAGGCAGTGTTGCATTCAGATGTGTGCAGATGTTGCATGCAGAAGAGGTGGCATGCACAAGGTGTCATGTGTAGATGCCGCGTGCAGAAGGGGTCACGTGCAGATGTGGCATGCAGAAGGAGCCACATGCACAAGGCGGCATGTGCAGATATTGTGTGCAGAAGGGGTCATGTGCAGATGCTGCGTGCAGATAGGGCTGTGTGCAGATGTTGCGTGCAGATGTGTGCAGATGCTGCGTGCAGACAGGGTCGTGCAGATGTGTGCAGGTGTTACATGCAGAAGGGGTCGCGTGCACAGGGTGTCGCATGCAGATGTTGCATGCAGAAGGGGTCGCGTGCAGATGTGTGCAGATGTTGCATGCAGAAGGCGGCTGGGGCGGGCGCTGCTGACAGCCGCGTGCCTCCCGCGGCAGCTCTCGCAGAAGTGCCTGGCCGAGTTCAGCACGTCGCCCTACGAGATGCTGGTGCTGGTGAAGCGCTTCTTCGAGGACCTGGCCGTGCTGCTGCAGCGCCGCGAGCCCTTCGCCAAGGACTGCAGCCACGTGTACCGCACGCAGTGCCCGTCACCCCGGCGTCCCACCGCCTCGGCACCGGGTAAGGGGCTGGCACGACACGACCCGTGTCCGTGTGGCTGCCTGTCCTGAGGCTGCTGGCCGCCTAGGCTGTGTCTGTGCATGTCCCCATGTGTCTCCATGTGGGTTTGGCAGTCTGGAGAAGGGGCTGAACATCCTGGAAAACCCCTTTGGAAAATCCGGATTGGGGCTGCAGCTGGCTGGGGCAGGAAACCCAGCTGCGATAAGCCTGGGAAGGGAATGTGGAGGCCATTCCATGCGCCCATCTGAAGGCATCTGGCTTAGCTTGCTCTCCAAGGCACCTGGACTCGCTCTGCCACCCGTTTCTGCATGCCTGGGGCTGAGGTTCCAGCCTCTCCGTACCTCAGTTCCCCAACGGGCTGCATGGATCAAAAGGCTGGAGAGTCTCCATGGGGAGAGCTCTGGACTGTGGGGCATGGAGGAGCCCGTGCCGCTGCCTGCGCTTCCGTGTGCTCTGTCCACACGCCGGATCCGTGGGGAGTTGGAGGCACCATCCCTTTGACATCCCGGCTCCCGCCAGTGATGCCGAAGTCAGATAACTCCTTGCCAGTGGCTTGGGCACCGTTTGTCCTGCATCCGTCCCCACTCCCTGCTTGCTCCCTTTCTCCTCCAGCAGCTCTCCATGGCCCTGGACGGCCGCTCACGCTGCGACCTCTTCTCTCCTCTTCTTGCAGGTTTGGGGACAGATCCCGATGGCCATGTCCTGTCCCCTGCCCTCCCTCCTGCCACCCAGCCCTCCCTCTCTGCCGCTAGTGCCCTGGTGCCTTCTGGCCACCCTCACGGTGCCCCAGCTTGGCCACCCGCCACCGCCACCGGTCACCGAGGAGGAGCTGGGTGCCTGGCTCGAGGTCCCAGCGTCCCCGGGTCCTGCCATTCAAGTGCCGGACGCGCTCCCAGATGCTCCCGGCACGGTCGGCCTGGTGGCGGGGGACATCTCCGCACCGCCCGGGGACGCGGGGATGGCACAGAGCGCTCCCCAAGCAGGGACAGCAGCGCCGGAGCGCCCAGAGCACCTCGGAGCCTCCGTCCTCCCGCCGGAGGAGGCTCCCGGCGAGGCCAGCGGGGCCGGGCA